ATTGAGGACAATGTCCTGCCCCCCCTGGGGGAAGGAACTCACTTAGGAACGCTGTGCTCAGGGTTCCCTGGCAGCTCAGTCATGCCAGGGACATGGTGAGAGTTCCCTATGCTCCTGCCAGCCCCAATGCCAGGCCGGATGTGGGGGGAGCAGAGGAGCCGACCCAGCCAGGGAAGGAGCTGGCACTCCTTCTGCCCCTCCCTGTGGGCAGAGCCCACAGTCACTGAGGTCTCTGCTCCATGTGGGAAAGGAACCTACGGCACCTCCGCCCTCCCACACCTGTCTGTCTCCGCTCTCCCACACCTGAGCTGAGGAGGCAACGTGAGGGCAGCGTGTTGGAACTGCACAAGGAATACAGGAAATGGCTGCTGTGGTCATCGGTGATGCTCTAAGAGGCCTGGTCTCTGCCCTGGAGACCCTACTTGAAGGAGAGGCAAGCACAGAGAGGCATTTTCATACCACGGCGTTCTCTCTGTGTGGAACAGTCGTGGTGTCCTGGGTTTTCCCCAATCTAGGTCCCCCAAATTAGGCCAGGCACTGCCACCAGCCCCTCCTCAGCCCGGTGGACTTCTGCCTAAGAACCAGCCTCTGCCCTGCTGGCCTGATTTACTCAGCTCGGAGCACCCTCAGGGTGCCTCCTACACAGCGTCTTCCTTCCCACAAACTAAATGGGTCATGCTTTCTGTTGGTTCCTGCTTCTCTCTCCTCGGAGACCTCTCTGCTCTGCGTCTGCCCATTAGGCCCTGGTCCTTAAAAGTCAGCATGATCTGGACACATGGACCCATCGCACTTCGGTGGTCCCTAGAGGTGGGCAGAAAAAGAGCTACGGGTGGCAGGTATCTCCACAGGTCGCCTCCTGCAGACAGAGGGAGGTGAGCAGGTGCAGCTGCACTGGGTTCAGGCCACTGGTTTGCATCTATCTGAGAGCAGTGTGCTCACCACCATAATTCCCCTCTGGTCCTCGGTCTCTCACTTCCCTGGACTCTCGCCCCAGCAAGTGCCTGTGGCATTTGTGTGGAGTGTTTTTTGCTACTCACAACATGATCTTGTTCTGTAGGGAGACGGTCAGCCCAGGAGGGCCACAGGAGGACAGGGATTGCCACGAGGGCGTGCGTCTGGCTGTTGGGTCGTCCTGGCACAGCAGGGAAAGGAGCCTTCAGGGGGACACAGGTGTGTCATGGAGGGAGAGCCCCCGCCTGTGAGCCACCGGGCTGTGGTCTCCTTCACTGTCCTGGCCCCATTTCCCGATCTGTAAAAAGAAGCAGCTGCCCTGAGTTATGTCCAGTGACCCTGAAGTCTCCGAGATCAGGTGGGTGCCAATAGCCCCTGAAGATACCCAGGCAATGCCATCTTCAGCCTTAGATGTGACACCCCTGCTGCACAAGAAGTGCCAACCCAGGAAAGCACACATTGGTTTGGGAATGGCATCTCACCTGTCCACAGAAGTTTATGCTGACCCACAGTCCACTCTCTCATCCAATCCTAACCCTAACAGGCAGCAGGAAAAGCTCTCACCCCATGCTGTGGTTCAGGAAACCAAGACAGAGACACGACTGCTTTTTCCAAGGTTTCTGCATAAATAAAACTGAAATTCAGACTGGAGCAGGTCACCCTGGAATCCATCTTTCAAAGAGCGCATGCCCACCCTTTCCCTTACCTTGGAGAGGGTCAGCAGACCCAGGCTGGACGTCAGTGCTCACAGGGAGGGCCATGCTGCCTGTCCTGTGGGCTGGGCCTTTGCTCTCCCTGCTCACCTGCCTGGCCTCCCTTGCAGGGCCAGCTCCTCCCCTGCTGGTCACTGGCAGTGTTCCCTGGGGAGTGTCCCTGATTGTCCTGATTATTCTGAGACTTTAGTTAAAGCTATTCATTCCACCTTGGCCGTGGCTCAGGAGCCCTCTGGAGCAATAGCCACCTTGCCAGCCTGTTGCCTGTCCCATGGCTCCAGAGCCACGTTGGCCATATAAAGAAGGGGTTGTCACCCAGTGGGCTTCCCTTCTTGTGGCAGCTGCTGCTCCTGGACGCACCAGGGACCAGGGCGACTTTGCTACCAGAGTAGCTAAGCCCCGAGCTTCTCAGACTTCAGTTGCTGCCATGCCCACCTCTGGAGCCACGGCGGCTGTGGAGGTGAGCTCGCTACCTGGGCCACCACAGGTGTGTCTCTGGATTGGTGTGGTGTATTCACCCTGCTGACAGAGCGCACAATTGTGAAGCTTGGTCAGATGTTCCAGGAAGTCAGGTTGACGTCTCTGAGAGGAGTCCCAGGTTCTTTCTCTTGGGGTGCCGAGATGGTCCTGGGGCTCCAGGTGGTTCTCCTGTTTGATTGACAATGTCTCCTAGGAAAGAGGCTGAGAAATTGGTATCCAGGTACCCTCCATAGCGGGGGGGCTCTGCAGATAGGAGGAGGGAGCTGGACATTGGGTGAGAGGCCCTTGTACCTCTTGTGCAGAGACATTGTCCGCTCTGGGGTGTATGTACCCCTGGCAGTTGAAGCTCATGCCTACAAGGACAATAGTGCCATCACTTCTGCCTTGAATATTTTCACAGCTCCCAGAGACCTTCACGTGATGGGCAGCCTCTGTAGTGGGCTCACAGCCCCCAGTGGGCTCTGGTTTCCTGATGCCACACTGACTGCAGTCTGTTTCACCTCTGTGTGCAGCACAGCCCTGGGCAGTTGCTCCCCCACTCAGAGCTCTGCTTTGCTCCCACCCTTGCCCATTTCCCCATCCTGCCAGCCATGAAGTATGAGTGGCTGCCCACATTCCTGGTGATCATAGGCCAGGGGACACTTAAACAGTTAAAAAAAAAAAAAACACCCACCATGGGGACAGTCAGGTCTGTCCTTACCAGAGATTCCTTCAAAGCAAGTCTGAGACTAAAACCAAAAGCCTCTCCTTGCTCCTGGCTCAGGCGGGTTTTCTTCTCCACTGGAGGGTGTGGAAGTGCCTGGGCTGTCACCGCCCAGGGGAGCTGGTGCAGCCAGCATGGGAGAGAGTCCCCATGGGAACCAGATGGACTGCTTGTGCCCTATACTGGCCAGGGGGTGTGAATAAGACAGGGAGGCCTGTTCCCAGGGTGGCCAAGGCCAGCTCCAGTTCATCAAGTTCAAGTGGAAAGCTGTAGTAGCCACGACTACCACCAAGGCTGCCGGTTCTAAGGTGCTGCTGCGGGCAGCAGCCTCCACAAGCATCAGAGCTGTGGGTGGCCATGCGGTGAGCCAGCCTGCAGACACCGGCCCCAAGTCTGTCCCTCTGTGTGTCAAACTGAGTGCAGTCCCTGCCCAGGGACCTAGGGGAGGGACAGGGCTGAAAAATCAGCAGACACTGGACTGGCCCATTCTGTGTTTCTCAAGATGCGGCATCTTGCTGAGAACTAATATTTTCAATATCTTCCCTTTCAGGGTCCCGGAACAGAAATATTACAGAGAGGAAATAAAATGCAGCAGAACATTTCCTCTAGTGATGAAATTCAGTGCCTGTGGGATTTTCTGGGGAGCTCAGTCACCCACAACGTGGCTGTCATGGTGCTGGCTAACAGGGCATCAACCACAAATTATTGGAAAAATAATTAGAAATCTTGCAT